TGAGCTGTCCTCCCGGTGTCTGCACCTCACGGAAGTCTCAACCATAGACATTTGGGAAGCAGGTATTGGAGAAATCACTTCTCTGTGAGAAGATGAGTGCAGAAGCGACCCAGACCAAAAGTACGAATAGGTGTAGTGCCTGGCTCTACACAGTCAAGGACAAAGACAACGACTATGGTTAAAACAAGAAAGCTCTGTGCTCACACTGAACCCTCAGACGACATAGCCCATGACCCATAAAGAAGAAATTGCAAAACTAGAGGAAATGGTCCCTCTTATAGTTTAAGGGATATTTGTGGCAATTGTATATAATTTTCAAGGTTAACGGCATCTTAATGAAAGTCTCGTTTATCTACATATTAGTGTCCCGAAGCTAGCTTCATTTGCATAATCATAAATTGCATTTCAACTGTCCTCGGCAGCCTGCTCCCCGCTCGATGAAAACGTAACGGTAATTTTATTTGGGCTCAATTGCATACATACTGCATTTATGCGGCATCAGAAAATAACATTTTAATCTAGCCAGCAAGTTGGGAACTCATTACCACAAAAAAAGAATGTTGGTGAAAACACCAAGTCTGCTTTTCCAAATGCCTTTGAAGGCCCCTGTCATTGTCATATTATTGCTCAGTTAGTTTTAATTGTATTTGCTCAAAGCTAGAAAAGTCAAGGTGTTGGGATGGAAATTTCATTTAGTCTCCTAGGTGCAGGTAGCCAATAGACACTGGATTCAAGGATGGCAAGGGCCTTGGGAAGAAGCAACAGGTAGACTAAGAGCTGAGAAGGAAACATCACTGCTCTAATGTAGGAAGACTGCCTGGGTATGCACTAACTCAGGTAGGTGTCAACTCAGCCTAATCTCATAGCTAAATCTACCCCAACCCTTCTCCCAACTTGGAAATGAACCCCAAGTCACACACTGTTTGAGATCTCTTGACATGCCCCACTCTGAGCAAGGTACAATAAAGAGCACCAGATAGGTACAAAACCTTGCCCTGTCTTCACAGAAAGGAGAAGAGATGCAGGGGAGGGGGGAAAGGGAGAGAGGGAAGGAGGGAGGGAAGAGGAGGGAAGAGGAGGAGGAGGAAGAGGAGGAGGAGGAGGAGGAGAGAGAGAGAAAGAGAGAGAGAGAGAGAGAGAGAGAGAAGGGTAAAAAGATCCTTTACAAATGCCCCTGAAAGCCAGCCATCCTCACATGGCTGGTATAGGCAGTGATGCCCAGAGAGTTGAGCAAACACTGAGGTTCACCAATCAATGCCAGAGTCAAGATGGAAGTTAGGAGAGGCAGACAGAAAGTCTTAAATGTCTGCTAGGAATGTTGCAGATTCCTAGGAGCCAACGAAGATAATCTGGAAGAGTGATAGGATGAAAAACCTCTGTGGGATTCCTTGTGACATCACCTTTGGCCACCGTCCCTGCAGTGAGCATTGCCACACACCTTGGTACCTGAAGCTCCCACCCCTGTGACACTTTCTGAAAGATGTGTGGAAAGCCAAAGTGAGAAAGGCAAGTCTCCGAGCAGCAGCTTCCCCACCAGCCTGGCTCACACCCTCCCTGGGTTTCAGGGGTTTGCGACATGTGTCTTGCTAATCAAGGCTCCATCTGATGGCTGGGTCCTGCACAGAGGGATTCACAGCTATCTACCCACCCCTTGGCCAGGAACACTTGAGAAAAAAAATGGCTGCACTGGGCTAGCTGTGAAAAATGAATAATCAGCTCTTCCCAGTGGCAGGAGCGGTGGACAGGATGAGCGATTTCTCCAGGTGCAGAGCAGGGTAAGGTGTGAGAAGTGATGCATCTGTTTCTGGTAACTGCTGGCATGATGGTCAGCCTTCAAAAATAAAGATCAGGGACAGCAGAGGGTAGGAATGTGCAGCACAACCAATCTGTGGCAACGAGTATTTCTGCAAAGGCCAGCACAGCTCCTGAGCCTTTCCACAGCTATTTACCATAGGACGACATTCTTCATTGTTCACAGTGCTCTTGTGACAAGCAGTCACACAGGGCAATGGGCCTTGTTAAGACAGTGCTCTAGAAGGTGATCTTTCTCAAATGCAGCCCCTTAGGACTTCAGTGCCTGGCCCCTCCTCTCCAGCTCCTGTGAATCTCCATGGTTAACAAACATCCCAGGGGGGTCTGAAAACTGTGGTACAAAATCAGTTATCTGCTGTTTATCTCTTCTGATCTTCCTAAGATCCAGGCCTCTAGACCCCAACCACAGTCCTGGTATGTGGTCTGGGAGTGCATCTGTAAAGTCTTCAGGAGCGACTCCGGTGCTGGCTTTAAGATACAGTTGTGGCCAGGTTAATAAAGAGAAGACTTCATTGAAATTGACCCTCTAGAACTCACAGGTACATTTTTGTTGTGAATGATAAAGGGCACACAGATTGGAAGTGACCTTACCCAAGACAGCAGAAGATGTTTGTGTCCTCTATGCTGGTTGAGTCCCAAATTACAGCATGTTGTCCTGTAACAAAGTCTGCACCAGGGTGTCTGTGTCTCCTGGACCTTGAATCCTGCCTATTTGCATATTCACTGCTCCCTGTAGATTCTAGTGACCTCCTACTTATCCTCCAGGGGCTTTGAGAAGAACACATTCCTCTTCATGTGAATCCATGGACCCTCTAAGATATCATAGTATGGGGCTCTGTGGTATTAACTTGGGAGTCCAAACTGGAACAGGTGGAGGCCATGATACTTCCTGTGTGACACAGTCTAAGGAGCCTGGGCAGAGCACATGGCTTATATGAAGGTAGTGAGTACTCTGTTCCTGAAGCTATAAGAGCAGAAGTCAAAACGCCAGACCTCGGGAATGGTAGCAAGCTTGCCACCAATAGCCATCAGCAGAGACACTGGACCTCCAGGGCACTGAAGCCCTCCCTCATCCAGGTGCATTTTACTCTGCTAATTTCAAATTCAACTTTCCCCATGACATCATTTTGCCTGAGCAGACTGGCTTTGCACAAAGTAGCAAAACACAATTTAAATATCTCCTAAGTGGCAGAGTCATGAGAAAGAAAAACAAATTAATCAACAAAGAACCCCTTTTCAATGGTTTTCAAGCCAGCTTGTGTGTGTCACCAAACCACAGGTGAAATGCTAATAAAACTCAGGGAGCCACAGTAGCATGGTTTAAATGTGTTCTATTGTTCCAAAGAAACAGATGCAGAATCTCTTTCCAAGTCTGGTCTTTCAGAAAGAGGGGGAACTTGATAGATGCATGGAAACTATTAGACAGTAGCAAAGGCCTCCTGAAGAACAAAGCTTAATGGAGTCACTGTTGCGTGGCAGATGGAATGATCCAGAAGGCCCATCAGCAGCGGGTGCAAACACCATCTTCTCTGGGTAGCCTGAGACAGATGCAGCCGGACGGGTCCTGGGAGAAGAAGCAACTGGAAAACAACCACGATAAAGTCATTTTCCCTGTTTAGCCTAATTTGAAAAGACACGTCTGGGGGACGGGCTAGCTCTGCATGCTGGGTGTGAATTTCAGCAAGAGAAGCAGTGTGCTAATGGAATCCATCACAGCCACAACAGAGGGAGCCTGGGAAGCTTAGGGGATGTCTCCCATCACGCCCCCGTTGGCTCCAAATGTCTATTCTGCCCTGCATAGCATGACTGATCCAGTCTTCTAGATACAAAGTATCTTTCTTGCCCAACACAAAGTATCATTCTACCCTCATGTTCCCGCACATGTTCTTGTCTACACCTTCTCCCCTCCCCAATCTCAAATGGCTTCTAAACCCAGATTCAAAACTCACCTGCTCCAGGCTGGGCTCCCCTGTCTGCTAGCAATGTTTGGTGTCCCCAGTTGCAAGCTGATAAGCCAGCACACACTGTCCCTGCACATCCTCCTGAACATCTCTCTCTCTCTCTCTAAGTTTCTTCATTTTCTGAAAGGCCTCCCTTGATGACTGGAAGCCCTCTAACAATGGGGACATTATCAGGTAGAACACAACTCAACAAGTTCGGAGGCCAATAAATGCCACCCCAAAAAGGTAAAGGCTAACACAGAAGGCGTTGCCTCATAGACCCACAACCCCAAGTGCTGTGGCCCCAATATCTCTTTCAAGATCATGACTGGAGTGGAAGTATAAAGGGATCTAATCAAATCAGGGGTTTTCTGGAAATCCTCGATTTGGATCTAATATCTACAGTCACACCTGATGGAATCTGGGCTCACTTTCTGGAGTCAAGCAGAGTCGGATCCTCTCTGCTTGAGTGTGTTGCTGCGTGGGCTCAGGGAAATAATGCAACCTCTGTGAATCTGTTTCCTCAGCCCAGATGTTGGGGTGATGTCAACAACCCTGCAGGACTGCGGAAGTGTCTTGATCAAGTGAGGTGAAGCAAAAATGACAAACTAAGACCCTCACTAAATGTCAGCTTCTTTCCCATTCTTTGTATGGATTGTTTGCTCCACCCTGTCCAGAATCATAGGCTGAAATCTCATCGCCCATGAAGGGGAGTTGTTGTAGAAACTTTTAATCCCAATCCAGGGTTTCTACACTGCCTTAGACCATTCAGTTTCCAGATAAAAACACCTAACTTTTATTATTTACAATAAGCCTTAAACAGCACAAGATCTGGGCAGATATCTACCCTCTATGCTATTAGAATCTTTTTTCAATTGGTAACCCTGAGTTGTTACTTACTGTTTTATTTGGGCTGCTCTTAACTCCAATTGGCCAGCCCTCAGGGCCATGTTTTCATGACTCACCAAACCTATGATGGCTTCTCCTCCATTTATCTTCTCCTCTCTGTCATGTTTCTCCTCTGACTCTCAGCCCCAGAACCCCCAACCACACCTATGTCTCTTCCGCTCCACTATAGGCTGTTGGCATCTTTATTTGGCAATCAGAAATAACTTGCGGGGAGGTCACATAGTGTCACTTGGGTCTACATGCAAACTCTCTCGTCTTTGGGACCCACACTTAACATTACAACACATAGGAAAAGATCCATCTTCAACAAGGAGTGATTAGGTCATACTCAGGAGATCCTTGTGAGTAGTTTTATAGTCTCCATAGGAGAGACCCCAGAAACCATCTTGCCTCTTGGACCATGTAAGTACTCAGAAACAAGGCACCATCTACAAACCAGGAAGTATGTCCTCACCATGCACCAAACCTGCAGCATTTTGACCTGAGAAATTTCTCCTGTTTGCAAGCTACCCTATCTATAATATTTTGTTATAGCATATGAAAGAGACTGAGATATCCTCCTTGCTGCAGTGCCTGACTGTGAGACTTTCCATCCTGTGGTAACTCAGTTTTTCCATCTGTAGAATAGTCAGACAGGCTCAGAACTTATTTTACTACTTGCAATGCATTATGCAAAAAAATTTATAATATTTGTAATACTATCAGACTTGGTTTGTTCAAAGTGCCATGTGAATGTGAAGTGCACATTCATTCCTCCTGAACAATGTAATAGTTATCACCCATGATTTCTACAAGGTTTAAAGGTGTTCATCCATTGAAGACATGCTATTAGCACGGGAACCTGCTACCAGTGGAAGAGGCATTCTACCTTGAGGATGGAGATGTGTCCATCCTCTGCTCTCTGATGAACAGTGCACCCCAATTTTGAGTCCCTCTCAGCACATGCTGAAGTGTATCTCCTGACATGACAGGCTAGAGATATATTCTACATTTAACTGATGAAGAAACTGGGGCAGGAGGTGGGGGTCAGGAAGGATTTCGTGAATCCAGATCAAGTGCTATTGACCCAAGATACTTCACAAGGGGCAGTGATGCTGTAGACATGCCAGGTGAGCCCTACTGTATCATTCCCCACAGTTATGGGAGAAATATCAAGGGCTTAGAGTGATTAGAAACTGCATCCCTCCCCATCCTGTGTGTGTTGTAAATTGTGACCACTGGAAACAGAACAGAATCCAAAATCACATTCACGTAACTGTATGCAGTGTAGCAGGGTGTCATGGCTGTCATTCTAATAGAAGGAAGTTAACCATGATCGTATGCTCTTAGGAGGTGAGCATCAGGATCCGTCAAGGTCAAAGCAAGGTGTCATGGCTCCTACAAAATCTAGTCCATTGCCAGTTTATACGGCGTGCTCCCAAATAGAGGTTCGCCATACCTCCACTCACTCTTAAAAGCATCCCATTGAGTATGGTCATCCTAAGCCAGAGAGGGACTTCACATCAGAGTCACCTGGGAACTCCAGCAGCCCCTTAACTCAATCATAACCCGTGATGATAAGGTCTAGCCTGGTGGAATTTCTTTAAATGTTCGCCAGTGATTCTAATGGATACTGACATTCGAGGCTATTGTCCCAAATGGAAGACTGCTAGCTCCCTGGAGAGCACAGGACAGGAGGTAGTGGTTGGCAGGTAGGCTCAGCTCCCCATGGAGATCAGGCAGCAGAGGAGTGTAAGCAAAGCTGGTCAGTACACCCCATGAGACTAGTAGTCATTACGTTGACTCCCACCATCTCAAGAAACAGTACAAAGCCCCTAGACAGTTCCCCTGGTGGGAGGACCACACAGCTCAGCAGTGAGCAAGTAATTAGTACTCATCTCCTTCCCAAAGGAGTCCCTGTCTCACCTTGAAACAAAGAGAAGAAGCAGGAGACAGATTTGTCCACACATTTGGAGACATTCTGCCAGAGAATTCCATCGAGGCGCATGGAGCCAGGTCCCTGGCACTGATCAGCTACAGAGCCCGGGGTGGAAACAGGTCCTGGGCAGGATCTGTGAACAGCTTGTCTCCAAGCGCTGCGTCTCTCCTAATGAATGCTGCAGTCTCTGGCCTCTAGCAGCACACCAGGGAGGTTCTTGGAAAAGCAGAGTCTGCCATTTTCTTGTCTCTGTCACAAAGAGCACAGCCTGTCCCCAGGCAACTCCCCAGACTATTGAATTTGTTTGAAGATCTGGCTCTGGTCTCCTACTTGGAGAGCATTTCAAGAGCAGAGGTGGTGTGGGTGGAGAGGCTTTATTAAGGGGGGACAATGGGCCCCACATAGCCCACAGCTGGCTATGGAGATGCCAGCAGCTCCCAAACACAGTCCAGATACTTCCCTCATTTCACTTGCCATTGTTTTAGGCTCCTGGAAACCTGTTGCACAGGGATAGCATATGTGGGCCAACTTTATCATCTGTGGCCTTACAATCACAATTTGACTCATAAGTAAATAAGATATTGTCAGCCATCCCAGTTTAATTATACCCATGTCCTCTCATCCTTTCTCTCTCTCTCTCTCCCTCTCGCTCTCTCTCCTGGCATTTTCAAAATTTCTTATCTTTGCCAACCTAGAAATGAAAAATACTATGTCAATATAGTTGTGTCTGTGTGTGTGTGTGTGTGGTTACATCAATATAAAGGTGTGTTTGTGTGGGTGTGTATACACTCTCACACGTAAGTATGCCATGCCATGACAAAGAACAACTTGAAGGAGTTCTTTCCTCCTTCTACTCTGTGTGTTCTAAAGACCCAACACAGGTAGTCAGTCTTGGTAACAAGGACCTGTACCCACTGAGCCATCTCACTAATCCTATCTTCCACCTTTTTTGAGACAAAAGTCTTTCACAGATTCTGGTCCTCACCAATTTAGGAAAGCTTGACCAGCAAGCCATAGAGATCCTCCAGACTCTACCTCCGCCCTCACCTTTGAGATTACAGGCACATACCATCACACCTGGCTTTTGACGAGGATTCTGGGAACTGAACTCAGGTCATTGTGCTAGTTTGCTTTTTTGTTTGCATGCATGCTTTTTTCATACGCTTAAAACACAGCTTTGTTTTCCTCTTGTAGACTCTGCTTATATTCTTTGCCTGTTTTTTTTTCATTGATCTGTAGACGTTATTAATACATTAGAGGAACCTTCCTCTGTGATAACACACGTGCATCTTTCCAGTTTGATGTTCATCTTTTTATTTTGTTCATGGCCATTAAACTGTGACTATATGTTGCGTGTACTTTTTTCATTTTTTTTTGTATTTTGAGATTATAATACAATTACATCATTTTCCCTTTCCTTTTGTTTCTACAAAACTTCCTATATATACCCCTCCCTTGATCTATTTCAAATTCAAGGCCTGTTTAATTGTTGTTCCACACATCTGTGTGGATGTGTATATATTCATAAATACATAAATACAACTGCTTAGTATGCACAATGTTGCTTGTATGAATATGTCTTCATGGCTGACTATTTGGCATTGGGTATTAGAGGCTGTGCCCATTCCTGGGGAATACTATTTCTCCACTCTCAGGATTCCTTAGCTGCCTGAAGTTCCTTGTGTAGGGTTGAGGCCTCATAAGCTTTTCCTGGTCTGTGTTAGTGTGAATTATGACTATTTTTAAAGTACTGGGATATATTTTTTTTTAAGTTTCTGGGTTTGGTCTCAGACCTTAGAAAGTATTATAAGAA